CATAATACCCAAATTTACATTTCTGGTGCAATTCATGAGGGAGCTATTATATAACCCCGAATCTCCTGTTTTCTTCAAAAGTGAAAGAAGAGTTATAAATGATAATCACCTATTTAACCTAAATTCATGATAGACAATTAAACTCAAATAATGCAGAAAAGAATACAGCTGAAATAACATTCAAAACTTTAATCGAGGCAATATAATGAGCATAATATATTGAAAATTAGTACATAGTGTATAATTATTATAAGGCATAATGCATTTCTAATCATACAAAATCTTTCTGCTTCATCTGAATGAATTGTCACATATGCCACGTATTCACATTATGTATTTCTCACCAGTGTAGTGACCCCGATGTGGAACTTCTGAAGCTGTTTTTATCTGTGTTCGTTATGTCACCTCATAGGAAGACTGAGATAATAGTAGTGCTGCCTAACACTGATTTTTCTATTTACTTCATGCTCATCAAAATATTCTCATAAATAACAAAGAATTTGGTTCTATGTCTTGTTTGGAACATTGTACAAATGTAATGTTATACTCTTTACTGTTAAGAAAAAACGTCTTTTTATTCATCCATGAGTTCTTCATTCCATATACTACCTCTTTGTTCTAGAAAAGGGTGCAGCATTGGACCTAGGCTTCAGGATCTAAACTGAAAATCTTAGAATAGAGTCAGATTAGGCCCAGCTGCAGACAGGATTAATCCAGTGTCCATATATTAACAAGGCTGGCAGTTGTCGAATTTGCAAGCACGGTTTTACTCCCCATAACTCTACCATCTGGAATGTGACATTGGGATCCTGTTTGATAACATTGTTCTTAAACACGGTCTCCTGCATCTAGACCTCAAATGTGTATCTTATATTTCCTAAAAGTTTGATGATTGTAAAACTGTTATGTCATACTGTTTACACAGAGAAATAAGATATAATATATAATCACTTTAGAAAGTATCTTTTATTAATTTTTTCAGACAGGATTTCTCTGTATAACAGTTCTAGCTGTCCTGGAACCAGCTCTTGTAGACTAGGCTGGCTATGAACTCACTGAGATTTATTGCTTCTGCCTCCTGAGTGCTGGGATTAAAGTGTGAGCCATCACTGCCCATAGAAAGTATCTTTTATTGAAATTAAATTTTACCTTCATTTTATATGTGTGAGTATATTTGCCTAAATGGATACCTGTGTGCTCTGTATGCTACATTGGATCCCATGGAACTAGAGTTAAAATCTGTTGTGTAGTGCCATGAGGGTGCTAGGAACTGAGCAGCATTTTAACAGACATTACAGAATCTGAACCAGGGGGGAAACTTGCAAATGTAATGACTGTGTCAAATAACGGCAGCCTTAAAGTTCCAGTCTCTAAGACTTTCTTTCTAGGCTCAATTAAAGATGCCATAATAGGCTAAAGGGGGTCTAAAAAAATCCGAGGGTTAAGATCTCAGGGGTAAGAAATCTACTCAAAACAGCTTCCCTCTATCCCTATTTCTTTATTCTTCTTTCTCATTTCTTTAAGTTCTCCCTTGTTCTGTCTTGTTCTCCTTTGTTCTCTCTTGTTGCTCCTTGTTTTATCTGTTACAAGTGTTTCCAGTCATATATATTCTTAAAACCCAGCCCTCCAGGTTTCAAGTCTAAAATTCTTTTGCCCCATAAAAAATCAGATAAGAGCTCTCTCTCTCTCTCTCTCTCTCTCTCTCGAGAGAGAGAGAGAGAGAGAGAGAGAGAGAGAGAGAGATAAACACATGTCTAGTGAACTCCTTAATGGAGAAAGTTAGTTAAGAAAAAAATTAAATCATCAGGGGATCCTAGAGGGGAAGTTAGTGCACGTTTTTAGGTGGTAGATAAAAGGTTTTGTTCAGTAAAATTATGAATAGGATGCAGATTTTTTTTAAATCAGTGAGCCAGTTTTTTCCTCTTACAACATGCACAAAATCAGGTAACCAAGCAACCTACACAAACAGTTAGGAAGAGGCCATGTCTCTTGATCTGATTAGCACATATATCAGAAGCTGCAATTTCTATGGGCCTAGGTCTGGAGTTAGACTTACTGCTCTAAGCAAATAAGAGACAATGTTCTGGGTCTGAATGATCAGTTCTGGGCTATGCTGTTATCAGTCATTCTAATTGGCGGTGTTGTGGGTCTTTCTCTGGGTTGCAGTTAATTATTTCCTCTGCTGTCCTGGAGAGTAAAATATGAGTGGTAAATTTCCTGAACTAAAATCATCAGTAAACTGAGGTAAAAGTGAGCATAAGGAGTTAGGAATCTTTTGAGTGAAATAAAAGCAAAGCAACAGCTTGGGCAGTAATTCTATGTCCTTGGAGTTCTGTGAACATCTTAAATAAAATGCTCTTTCCTGGTCCCTAAGCACTGACCAAATGCCTGCTGATAAAGATAATTGCAGGAAGGCAGATCTCTGCATTTACCTAGGAGATAAGAATGAAGGAGTGTGAAACTGGACTCTATGTTTAGTTTTTGAGCAGCGTGATTTTAATCCTAGCAGTAGGGAGATGAAGCAAGAGAATATGGTGAGTTCCATGTCAGTCTGGGTTAGTTCCAAGCTATGACTACACAGTATAACTCTCAAGAACATGAATAAGAAAATAGAGAACTATTCTTTATATGATCCTTCAGAGAGGACCTTTCATTATTGCTGTATCACCTATTGGCCTACCTTATGCAAGGTACACTCTTTAGATAAAAATGAGAAGGATATTATTGGTCCCTGTGGTTTGGTATAGATCAAATTGGGGGTTCCTCTGAGCATCCAATTAATGATTGTGCAACAGAAAAGGCCTCCACTAAGTCCACTATTCTGAGAATTTATAACTTACTTGTCTAATTAAATTTAAGAAAATATCAGTTATTGAATCTTTTACTTGTGCAGTATTCCCTGAATTCTCTGAAATTTTCAGAGAACTACCTCATATATGATAAATATGAGAAGATCTTAGATCAAAGCACAAAGCATATTCTGCACAATCATAAGAATATCCAAGAGAAGTCTTATAAATGTAATGTGTTTGGCAAAGTGACTCACAAATCCTTCCAGTGTACACTTCCCAACACAAGTGATACTGTAGAAAACAGATCGGATAATGACAGAGATGCATATATTGAATCACTAAACCTAAACAGACATAAAAGTGGGAACACTGGAGAAGAACCTTGCAAATATAATGACTAGGTAAGCAGTTTCAATTTGTGTTCCATAATTAGTCAACATCAAAGAATCCACACAGGAAAGAAAGAACACAAAAATATGGAGTATGATTTTGAACATAAACTCAAGCTAGAACAAACCAATAGTGGAAGGAAATCACACCAATGGAGGGAATGTGGAAAATGCTTCAAGATCGTCTCAAACCTAAGTAGACATCAGCTTGTGGTTCTTCCTGCAACCAGGTATTGCTTCAGGGTAAACTACCTAGAGTTAGGCCTCTATTAAATTTATTGATGGTTGAATCCTACTTTTGCAGGTGATAATGGTTGGGAAGTAAAGAACTTGCTTTGGGTGATCTGTTCATATTTAGCTTATCATGGCTGGCTCCTACAGTTAGTACAATTTTGAATAAATTCAGGCTCTTCTTTCCAAATGTTCAAAGCTCTTTCTGTCAGTTGGTGCTGCATCAGGGATGTTCGGCCTGAAAGAGCAGACAATGGAGAGTTCAGTTTCTGGACTGGTCCTTAACCATCTGGGTTTGCAGCTGGCTGGATAAGACTCTGGAGATTCCAATTTTAGGTGTTCAATGGATTGGGACCTCTGCTTGATGATCCTGAAAGCATTATTCTACATCTCTACAGATTGCCAGCATCATGGTAAAATTGTGCACAATGAAAAGACATCTCATATTGTACCCCCTCACAACATTGTTTTCTTCACTTGGTAATTATGTATAAACATAGTTCTTGTCTTCGGTGGTAGCAAGCATATGGCAGGGCTGAAAAAAGCCAGTCAAGGTACCCTGACAGCCTGGAGCTTTGTGGAAGTGAGCGTGGACAGAGAGGGTCATATGCAAATCAGTGGGGCAGGGACAATACCATATACGAAGGGTGATGGCAAATGAAGCAGTCTGTGGGCTTGGAAGCAGCATTTGTTGGAAGAGCATGGTAAGAGCCAGATCACAGGAGACTGATGGGAATTCCCAAAGGGATATCCAGGGCCTACATTTTTAGGAACAAAACAGAACTTAGATGGAATTTTACAGGTCCTGGAAAACTGCCATCAGCTGCAGCACACCCTGTAGGACAATGAGGTGAAATTATGAGTATTCTGTGCTTTGGGGAACTACAAACCCAATAGAGGAAAAACAGGACTGTGAAATAGACTGGACCAGAGGGGTGATCAGTTTCTATGTTTCTGAGGAGGAGGAGGACACAGGCTCTCAGAATTCTATTGTGGATACCTCTCCCCCGTCAGTAAACTTTAATTAATACCGACCGGGGCTTATCAGGGTTCCTTTCATTTGTCTTGTAGTTGCCAGCATATTCACAGAACTATCTGGAAGAGCATTTGCTCTACCTCTATTGTAGCATAAATCTAACTGGCCTTAATAATAAAAACCTGGAGTCATATATCATGGTAAATGGCAAAATATCAAAGAAATAAAGGAACCAGCATAATAAAACGTAACTTTTGTTATACTAACTACGTGCATCTGCCTTTTTAATGGCGACATATCCAAAAGTTTCAGAACTCAGGGTTGGGGTCAGATACCACGGTGCAGCGTCCTCCTAGATCCAGTTCTGCCGGCTAGGCTGGCAGCAAGCATGTGGGGAGGCTGCGCAGAGCGGGTCCAGGGCAGCCTGACAACCAGTAGAGGGACGAGTGTCCGGCGGGGTGGGGACACCTGCGTCTTCGGCGGAATTTAGGAGTAAAGAAAGAGTGAGGTGGACTTGGAAAACTAAAAAAATAGAGCTTCTGACAGCCGGGTTTAGAGGAATCACGTAACCGGAAGCACGGTGTAGTGGGCGTGGCCAGGAGGAGCCGCTCCAGAACCTGGTTGAAGGGACAGCGGATCCCGCTAGACCCTGTTGGGTTTGGGAAGCCGCATTGTCCGGAACCGGGCGAGGAAGACCCGGCTCGGAACCTGAAAACTCCCTGGAGCCGCAGTCGCCGCCGGGCGGCCTGGGAAAGTCAGCAGAGGGGGAACCGCAGCCCGGCGGCCCTGGAACCTCCCAGGTCAGAGGAGCTGCGGGGCTGGGACCCAGGAGGGGAGGGACCAGGGGTTGTGCTCGCTCAGGCGGCCTAGAAGGACACAGCTTTCAAAATTTGTTGTGGATATCTTTCCGTTGTCGGTAAATTTGAGATTCTATGTAGTGAGTCTTAATATTAGTATTGGTTTTTTTTTTCACTTGCCTTATGAACCATAAAATAAGACTATTTTCTCATAAAATAATTCCTAGAATAATCTGAAAGAACATTTGCATTCTTTTTTTTGTTTGCAAACAGGGTTTTCTTTGCTATTGTGGCCGTTTCAACGCCCCTGAAATTTAAAATCATCCATGATTTCTAACTCCCCTGTTTTACCACTTGCTTATTTAAGAGCGTATCCTTTGCCCTTTACACTAGCCAAAGATGTATATAGATAATAATCACACAAGGAACCAATGCACATATGATTATATCTTATGGAGAACATGTATTTTATGGAGTGCCACAGATATGGTTGTAAACCCTTTGCTCCCTATTAATTTTCCGTGTGAGATACCTGCAGTGTGGGATATAAATACAGCATTCAGAATTGCGTCCTCATATGCTGTGTTCTTGTGTTACACCTTAGGTCCAGGCAAGCCCAACATGCATGCTGTTAGAGCATATCAGACCACACTGATATACTGTTTCATAGTTAGCAAAGTCACTTTAGATTAAAAGAAAATTAGAAAGCATCTTCTGAATAATTATGACTACACACCTGTATCAGAAATATACCTCCTTGGTTGAAGAAAAGCTCTCTGCCCATGTGCATACACGTGGCGAAACTGTTTTGTTTGTTTGTTTCAGGGTTTGTTGACATTCATCTCTGTGACTGTGGACTTCTTGCAGGAGGCATGGGAATGTCTATAGCTGCTCACAGGGCGTTTTGCAGAGATCTTCTATTGGGAGAAGTATAGCAGAGTGGGTTCGGAGGGTGAGAATAGTTTTCATGCAAGCTCCCTTGCTCTTCTTCAGCGTTCCGGAGAAAACTGCACATGTGTGAGATGTGTGTGAATGAGTCTCACATCTTGGAGAATAAAGTAAAATCCAAAGAGAAGGAGACTGTGTTCTTTATATTTTCTCTCTCCTTCACGTTTAGCATATGTTAACACCTTTTGTTGTTGCTCCATGAAAAGGTCCAGGTGCTTTCTGAGGAATCTCTTTCCCATATGCAGATCTCACATTGTCAATAAGTCCTGCTCACCTGTGAGTCAGAACAAAGAGCCCTGGATGTGAAGAGAGAGGATCCAGGTATGTTACAGCGATTGAGGAAGGTGTGAAGGGATGGAAAGGGCTCAAGTGACAGTAGAAAGAGGACATGAGATTGGATTTGCCTCATTCTATTTATTATTTTAATTACTTTTATCATTTATTATTCATTTTATTAGAAATGATTCTAAAGAATTCCACTGAGAATAATTTCAGGATTGCCCAATTCTAGGTGTTTGACACTCTTTATTAAGTACTAAATCTTAGAGTTAAATTTATTTTTCTTTGCATGAGAATGATGCTGCCCTTCCTCTATTTTCATCACTAATTATGTTTTTATACCAATATTATGTGAGTTTATTACTATAATTTTAATATAGTGGTTAGTTAGAGCCATTGAAGCCTCTTTGTCCTGGGTGCTGGGTTTTGTAGCATTTTTGCATTCCTTCAGGTTTCATGTCTATATATAGAGTTAATTCCCAGCAAGATTTTGAAAAGATTTGCTTAATATCGCTGCCAAGTAATAGACTCTATCTACATTGTCTACGTCTTGATATGCTCTTATTGTCTGTCTTCAACACTCCACAGTTTGTATTGCTATAATTTTTATGTTTTAAAATTACCTTTGGATTTGATCCTGCTCTCATAAATTTTTAAATCTTTGGAACATTTTCTCCATTTGCATAAAAATGCCTATGTGATATGGGTACAAATTACTTAGAATCTTTGCAGAGCACAAATATCCTTTTATATTTCTTCACATGTTTGAATGAGAACATGTTGTAGGATGAGCGGTGGGCCATATCTCGCCACCCGTCTAGCTTAGCCCTGAAATAATTACACAGAAACTGTATTCCTTTAAACACTGCCTGGCCCATTATTTCTAGCCTGTTATTGGCTAACTCACATCTTGATTTAACCCATTTCTAATAATCTGTGTTCACCACGAGGGCGTGTCTTACTGGGAAAGATTCAGCATGTCTGACCTGGCGGATGGCTCCATGGTGTCAATCCCTGACCCTGCTTTCTTCCTCCCAGAATTCAGTTCTGTCTACTCTGGTTACCTAATTTCTACCCTATCAAAAAGCCGAGGTAGTCTCTTTATTCAACCAACGAAAGCAACACATAAACAGAAAGACCTCCTACACCAAGGACATGCTATCCATGAGTCAGTATTTACATGTCTCTTATGTATTCTTTTGGTTTATATCTATTGGGAAATGGACCATTTGATCACTTGTTAATATTTCTTTTGTATTTTTATAGATTCAACATTTCTTTTACCCACCATAATTATTACCAACCCTCTTCACAGGAAAAAAAAAAAGAATTTTTTCACTCTTAGCACTTTGTATCCTTACATTTGAAGGAAATACTTTTTATAGATAAAAAGTATATATTTTGATTTAAGGGTGTCTTTTCTCTCTTTTTTAGGCTGTATCCTATCTTCATGTTTGAGTTGGGGAATATCATCCTTATACATTACCAAACATCGCGGAAGGAAAATATAAACATATACCATTCTATTAATCATTTTGTTAATTTTTCTCTATTGTGTTTACTTTCCTTTTTCTGCTGCTCTTATTGCTTTGGGTATCTGCTCTTCTGCCACTGTCATGTTGCTGTTGTTCCTGTCCGTCTGTGGTGTCATCTTGAAATCACAGCTGGGATGACTCAAGCTTTGCTCGGCACTCTGAGGATTTTTGTGTTGGGGTTTTCCTTCTAGTACTTTCTGTGGGGTTAAGTTTCTCAATAGGTATTGTTTAAATCTACTTTTGTCATGGAATATCTTGTTTATATATCGATGGTGATCGAAAGCTTTGCTAGGTATAATAGTTGGACTTGCATCCGTGATCTCTTAGTGTCTGTAGTACACCTGTCCAGGACCTTCTGAATCTCATGGTTTCCATTGAGAAGTTGGTATAGTTTTGATTGGTCTGCCTTTATATGCTATTTGACCTCTTTCCTTTGTAGCTCTTAATATTCTTTCTTTATTCTGTATGTTTTGCATTTTGATTATTATATGGCGAGGGGACTTTTTTATTTTTATTGTAATTTTTATCCAGTCTATTTGGCCTTCTGTAAGTTTCTTGTACCTTCATAGGGATATCCTTCTTTAAATTAGAAAAGTTTTGTCTTTTTTTTAAAAAAATATATTTTCCGTGCCTTTGAGCTGGAGTTCTTCTCTTTCTGCTATCCCTATTATTTGGTCTTCATGGTGTCCTAGATTTCTTGGATGTTTTGTGTTAAGAATTTGTTGGAGTCAATGATTTCTTCGACCAAGGAATCAATTTCCTCTATAACATCTTTAACGCCTGAGATTCTCTCTTCCATCCCTTGTATTCTGTTTGCTATGCTTGCCTCTGTAGTTCCTGTTTGTCTACCCAGATTTTCCACATCCAGAATTCCCTCGGTTTGTGTTTTCTCTATTGCCTCTATTTCATTCTTCAGGTCTTGAACTGTTTGCTTTACTTGTTTGTTTTTTCTTGATTCTCTTGGGTTTCTTTGAGGGATTTATTAATTTCCCCCAAGTTTTTGTTTATCTTTTCTACAATATCTTTAAGGGAGTTTTTCATTTTCTCTTTAAAAGTCTCCATCATCTTCATAAAGTTATGAATAAATTGTTTTCTTCTGCTTCTTCTGGATTAGGATAATCAAGTCTTCCTGTTGTATGACCCCTGGGTTCTGTTGTTACCATGTTGCTTTTTAGGTTGTTGGATGAATTCTTGTATTGGCACTTACCCGTGTCTTTCTACAATTGATGCTGATGCCAGCAGTGTCTTTACATCTTGGTTCAATCCTTGCAGTGGCTGTCAGCATCTTTTGGAACTGTTCTTGGTCTGCTCTGTACTGTCAATGTCTGTGTCTCATGGAGGCACTGAGGTCTCTCTTAGCCTGCTCTCTTGGTCTGTTCTACTGCTGTGCTCTCTTGCTCCACTCTGTGCAGTTACTGCTTGTGCTTTAGAGTTACTCTTCTCGTGGTCCTCTCTATGTAGTTGCTGCTTGTGTTTCAATATTCTTCTGAGCTTGTGACACATGGGGGCATATTGGAGGGTTTCGGTGCAGAGTGGGATTTGTAGCTTGCAAGGTGTGGTGAATGTGGGTGTATTGGGGCAGCCTATCTGCAGGAAACTCTCCTTCTGGCTAACTGGAGAAGCTGAGGCCGGTGGGGAATTGGCCCTGGGTTGTGCCCTACTATGGAGGGCCTAGAGAGTGGTATATCCTGCCAGGTGACTGGTCACTCACCTCTTGGTCCTCTCTGTATTTTAGCAAGCTGTGTTTCACAGTTCTACTGGGTTGCAGGAGGATAGGCAAGTTTGGGTGCATGGTGGGGCTTGTAGCTTGCAGAGTTTGATGGATGGTGTGGGTTATTGGGATAGCCTACCTGGAGGAAACTCTCCTCCTGCCTGGCTTGAGAAGCTGAGGTAGTTGGGGGAGGGGCCCGGGGTTTTGTTGAGGACCTAGAGAGCAGGTATCCTGCTGGGTGGCTGGTCACTCATCTCTTGATCCTCTCTGTATTGTAGCAGGCTTTTTTTTCCCCTGAGTTCCACCCTTGGTCCTCCCTTTGAGTAGCAAGTTGTTCAGAAAATATTTTTATCAGTAAAATTAGGGATAGTGATTTTCTTCCTCCTGCTGATATCTGTATTGAAAATAATCTGACTCCCAGCTTTCCTATTCATGTGTTACTTTTGTAAAATATCATATTTTCTGGTTTTTTTTATGGCTAAAATCTCTGGCTGTTCTGTTTTCTTTCTTCCTAATTATGATCTACAGTGCATTTTGAATGGATGACCTCTGTCGTTTATAACCTTCTTCATATGCCTTTCCTTCTCCATGGATTTTCAGAGCCCATGTTTCTGGTTGCAATGATCAGGCTCATAGCCATTTTCTTTCACCACTCTATTTTTTTTAATATTTATTTATTATGTATACAATATTCTGTCTGTCTGTGTGTATGCCTGCAGGCCAGAAGAGGGCACCAGACCCCATTACAGATGGTTGTGAGCCACCATGTGGTTGCTGGGAATTGAACTCAGGACCCCTGGAAGAGCAGGCAGTGCTCCCAACTTCTGAGCCATCTCTCCAGCCCTCTTTCACCACTCTAAATATATCCTTCCATGCTTTCCTCTCTGTAGTAATGTTGACAAATTTTTGGTATCATTTTGGTTTTTTTTTTTTTTAGTCTTTTTTATGTGGTTTGGTATTGGCCTTAATATAGTTGTATTAATTTTAGTTTTGTATTTTTGACACCTTGATGGAAATTTCAACAAGAATTCCAGTCCTTGTTTTCTGAGAGAGAGTCAGAAACAACAACAAGAAGAATGAATGCATCTGTGGTAAATGCTCCCCAGGTCAGTGCCATGTTCACATTTCTTTGAAAATTGTTTTTATTATTGAAACCATTTAATTTCTAAATTCCCTGTCAGTGGCAATGTTATTGAAAGTGTTTCTTTTGCCTAATTTATTTGTCTTTTTCTTCTTTTACATTCAAGTTTATGTCTTTATATATTTTAACTGTATAGCAGAGACTGGTCCCATTATATTTTCACTTGGTTTTATACTGTGAGACCATGAATTTCTGTGGACTTAAAACTTGAAGCTCTAAAACATAAGCTATTGTAAATGACACTCAAAGAAATATGTTGATGACCATTTTCCACATAGAATGGACTTGTATCCTTTTGTATTAGGAAGGATGGTCTCATGTGCCAGATAGTTGTGTAGCTGTAATGGTCAGTTTTCCAGGAACAGGCTTATGAACATGGACCTGCCATTACATGGGCCTTTTACTGATATCACTGAGCAACTTACAGAAAAGTAGGGCTAGAAGAAACTTATTGTCTTGAACCTTAATAGTAAATATTTTAGCACCATAGGGAGTGTAGATGATAGAAGTAATATATGGCTTGCTCTTACCAGAAAGTTGATATGTCTGTGAAGATATGAAGGTTATGGTATTCTGGTTTGTCTTTTTGCCGTATTCTGTCACACAGTGATGTGCATTGACACCTGAAATGTACTTATCTCAGGAAAAATTCTCTTCAAAGTTCAGCAGTTAATTCTCTTAAGAAAAATCTTATTTTCTCTATTTTTTATCTCATTTTTCAGAAGGGGCATGAGCACTGCTGTCCCACCTTTTGTATGTCATCATATAGAATACATTAGTAAGAATTTTCTATAGAGGACTGACTGTCATCAGTTTTGAAGCACAAACGACTGTCTCTTTTAATGACTTTACTCTGTTCTTTTCTTTTGGTCAAAGAAGGCCTTCTCCAGCCTATGTTTTGTTTTTCTTTTTTTCTCTCCCTGGAGATTTGTATTACATAGGGTGAAAATTCTGAAGAATTATCTTAATGTTTCTATTTCTTTGCTTACAGTAATATTTTATTTAAGTATATGAGGGTTTACCGCATATGTTTATATACACTATATGATGAATTATGCTCCTGGATCCCTGAAGTCAGACATTGTAGTTAGTTGCTGTGTGTTTAGAAAGAATCAAAATAGGTTTCTCTGCAGGAACAGAAAGTATCTTTACCTCTGAGCCGCGTCTTCAGGCTCCGGATTAACATTTCCGGTGCACACTTGTGACAGTATATGACCCTGTGTATTCTAGTTTTTGAAAAATGAAGGCATAATCATAAATGATACTTATCTATGGTAAAATCCTGTTAGATGAATGAATTAAAATTCATCTAGAATTTTATAGAATATAATAGAATATTACATCAAAATGTTCACAGAAATTGGAAATACAATCAAGACAATAAATATTTGATAAAGTATTTTTTTAAAAAATAAAATTCCAGTTATACATACATACATACATACATGTAGTAGAAGGCTGCTTGTTTGTGCCCGGCTGCTCAGACTCAAAATAACCACACAGAAACTATATTATTTGCAGTACTGTTTGGCCAAGAGCTTAAATGTATTTCTGGCTAACTCTTATATCCTAAACTAACCCATCTCCATTAAGCTGTGTATCACCACATCATTGTGGCTTACCGGCAAAGTTTCGGCATGTCTGTCTCTGGTGGTGGCTCCAATATTTATGCTTCAGCAGAGAACATTGGATTTTAAGGATCTGAGATTAAGTTATGTTTTGTACTGCCCTAAGTGTGCTGAGAATCAAACCTCGTTTTCAAGAACTTTAAGAAATTATAGACTATAAACTCTAGACAAATTGTTCAAATTTAGTGATTGTGGGAAATCTCTTATTTGCTACTCGGATCTTAGAAATCACCAGTAAATTCTTGGAGGTGATAGACCTAATGGATATAAGCAGTGTACAACATCAGTCTATATATTGTCTCTGAAGGTAGCAACATAGAACTTCTAGAAAACTCTGGTCCTTTGAAATTTGCCATGGCTAGTCTGTATCATGAACATGTCTCTAAATCTGTAGGTCTGTTTAAACCAAGAAATCATTTGTCAAGCAGTGCATGGTAAATGGGTAATTTCTCATTCCAGGTTCTGTTAACATTCAGGGATGTGACAGTGGACCTCTCACAGGAGGAATGGGAATGTCTAGACTGTGCTCAGAGAGCTTTGTACATGGATGTAATGTTGGAGAATTATAACAATCTACTCTTTGTGGGTAAGAATGTTCTTCTTATAGAATTACTTATTCATTCTTCTTATTTACCTACTTTGTATCTATGTAAACTCTCCGAACCTAGAGAATCCCAGAATGAGGGAAATTCTCGTTACCAACATAACTATTTAATGGTGCTTCCTTGTCAACTTTCTGTATTCTCTGGAAGAGTAACCAATGCTATATTCACTGTGATATCTTCAGCCCTCCTATCAATATATAAAGAAAATTTAAATATTCAAAGAATATTGAATATTCAAAGCAAGGAAGTATAGTACAGTACTCTTAATAATGACAATATTTTAATTTTGTTTTGGCTTAAACTCTCCACCTATTTCTGATTATAAACAATGCAAAAGGTTTTAGAGAAAGAGCTGTTGCTTGTAAGAGTGTTTTTTTTTTGTTTGTTTGTTTTTTGATGTGGAGTTGCTATGTTTCATACTGGCACAGCATGAGTTTAATATTTGCACTTTGGAGGCTGAATCAGGAGAACATGTTGAGTTCCCTGCTGAACTATTTTATGAGTTTCTAGTTGATGAAAGCTGTACTGTGTGACTCTGTTTCAAAAATAAGAAATAGGGAAACATTCTTCATATGATCCTTCACAGAGCTTCTTTCTCAAAGTTCTTTACTGCTCAAACACCTGTTTGTCTTATGGGCTCAAAGTACAGTGTTTAGATAAGAATGAGAAGGCTATATATGGGACTGACCTAAGATGTCTACATATATTACAGTTGTTAGCTTGAGCTATTTGTGGAACCCCTAACATCACTGCCTTTACCTGAATTTTTGGCTTGCTATTGGGAATTTATTCCTCATAGTGGGTTGCTTTACCCAGCCTTAATATAATGGAAGGAACTTAGTCCTACCTCAACTTAATATGCCATGCTTTCTTGACATCCATGGGAGGCCTGCCATTTTTAGAACAGAAACTGAAGAAAAATTGATAGGAGGGCAGAGGGGAGGGGAGCAGAAGAAACAGGAGAGAAGAGAGGGGAGAAAAACTGCCATTAGGATGTCAAATAAATGAAAAAAAAATTAAAAGGAAAAAAAATGAGTAGGCTATTATTGGTCCCCATAGTGTGATATAGATCAGATTGGAGATTCTTTGAGCCTCCATTTAATGATTGTGAAACAGAAAATTCCTTGGTTAAGACTTCTATTTCTGATTACTAGTTTATATGTCATACCTAAGAAAACATCAGGTATTGAATCTTTTATTTGTGCATTAATTGCTATTATCCATAACTGTACTAATTTTTCAGAAAAGCATCATTTATGTGATAAATGTGAGAAGGTTCTGCACCAAGGCACAAAGACTTTTGTCCATGATCATGAAAATATTCAAGAGAAATCTTACAAATGTTTTGAGCTTGGCCAAGTGATTCATGAACCCTGCCAATGTACACCTTATGGTACAAGGAATACTGCAGAAAATTACAAGTACAGTTTTGGTAACCACATTCCTGCCTGTGTTGAAACCACAATCCTCAATAGACACAAAAGTGGAGATGCTGGAGACGAACTTTGCAAATATGAAGACTATGTAAGTTGTTTAAATTTGTGTTTCATCATTAGCCAAAATCAGAGTACTCAGAAAAGAAAGAAAGAACAGAAAAATACAAAGTATGGTCCATCTTTTCACTCTAATAGAGAAATTATATTGAAACAAACTGATAATGGGAAGAAACCACACCATTGCAGGAAATGTGGAAAATTCTTCAAGACTTACTCAAGCCTCATTAGCCATCAGAGAGTCCATACTAAAGAAAAAACCTATAAATGTACAAAATGTAGTAATTCTTTTTTGCATTTTTCACAACTCAATATCCATTACAAAACCCACTGTCTGGAAAAACCTTACAAATGTTCAGAATGTGGTAAGTGCTTCTGTCACACATCAGACTTTGAAAGACATTACAGGATCCACATTCGAGGGAAACCTTACAAATGTGGTGAATGTGACAAATCATTTTCCGCAAAACAAAATCTTAGAATTCATCAGAGAATCCACACGGGAGAGAAACCATACAAATGTAATGAGTGTGGCAAATCTTTTAGAAGTGACCCCAATCTTAGAAATCATCTGAAAAGACATAGAGGTGAGAAACCTTACAAATGTAGCGAATGTGAAAAATCCTTTACCACAAAAGACAATCTTAGAACTCATCAGAGAATCCACACAGGAGAGAAACCTTACAAATGCAATGAATGTGAGAAATCCTTTACCTCAAAAGACTATCTTAGGATTCATCAGAGACTCCACACAGGAGAGAAACCTTACAAATGTAGTGAATGTGGCAAATCTTTTAGAGGTAGCCCAAGTCTTAGAACACATCTGAAAAGTCATATAGGTGCAAAACCTTACAGGTGTAGTGAATGTGACAAATTCTTTACCACAAAAAGCAGTCTTAGAACTCATCAGAGACTCCACACAGGGGAGAAACCTTACAAATGTAGTGAATGTGGCAAATCCTTTTCCAGTAGCTCAAATCTTAAAACACATCTGAAAAGTCATTCAGATGAGAAACCTTACCAATGTAGTGAATGTGACAAATCATTTTCATATGGCTCAAATCTTAGAACACATCTGAAAACTCATACAGGTGAGAAACCTTTCAAATGTAGTGAATGTGACAAATCCTTTACCACAAAAGACGGTCTTAGAACTCATCAGAGAATCCACACTGGAGAGAAACCTTACAAATGTAGTGATTGCGGCAAATCTTTTGCCCAGAAAGTCCAGCTTATGACTCACCAGAGAACTCACACAGGAGAGAAACCTTATAAATGTAGTGAGTGTAACAAATTCTTTACCAGAAAAGCCAATCTTAGAGGTCATCAGAGAATACATACATTAGAGAAACTTTAGAAATGTAGCGAATGTGAGAAATCCTTTACTGTTGGTTCAACTCTTAGAATACGGTCCGGGATATTTGATTACACTGTGAAGCCTGAGTTTTAATAATATTAATCTTGGATCAGGGACTGAAACCGAGAACTATTTAACAGGAATTAGCAATTGAAAGTAAGATGCAGAGATGAACAATAATGAATAGATGAGCAATTTGGAATTTCACAGTCTTTTCAGTCGGAGATGGTTGGGGAGACACTCTCTTGCTGAGTCTCTAGGCCTCTCTGAACCAGCATGTTTGGTGTGGGAAGTCCTTCTGTACATGTATTGCTTTTATTGGTTAATGAATGAATAAAGTATCTGTCTTGGGCCTGGCAGGGCAGAATAGAGGTAGGCTGGGAAAACAAAACTGAATGCTGGGAGAACAGACAAGTCAGAACCTTGCTGGTAAGCCACTGCCACGTGCCTATATGCAGATTAATAGAAATTGGTTAAATTAAAATGTATAAAACCTAGCTAATAAGAAGCTAGAGCTAATAGACCATGCAGTGATTTAATTAATACAATCTCTGTGTCGTTATTTCGGGGCTGAGCAGCCGGGAACAAACAAGCGGCCTCCTCCAACACATGTTTTCACCCCAGTGTCTGAGTCCTGAGCCCTTATTGGTAAATAGAACAATAGAAACTTAGGTAAAAGCTACATTTGTTGGCTATGCCACAGCCAGTACTAGCAGAGTCAGAAATCCCACCAAACCACAGCCCAAGCAACAGTGTTTTTAATGCAGGGCCATAGGACCATAGTCAGGTGTAACTGCTTTGCTGACAGGAAAACAACGTGAACACATCAGAATAGATACTAAAGAGAAACATAAATGCAGTGAATGTGAGAAATCCTTTACTGTTTGCTCATTTTTAAGAGTATATTAGAGAATTCGTTCAGGAGATAAACCTTGCAAGTGTAGTTGTCTTCATTAGGCTTTTTTGCTCTGAAGCAATTCTCTTAAAGGAAAACTTTTAACTGAGGCTGGCTACAATTTCAGAGATTTAGTCCATTGACATCATGGTGGGAAACACAGTGACATGTATGCAGACATAGTGCAAGAGAATGAACCGAGACGTCTGTGGCACGATCCTTGGGTAGCAGGAAGTAAGCTATGTACTAGGTGTGGCTTGAGCATATGTGAGACTTCAATGCCTACCTTAACAGTGACACACTTCTTCCAGCAAGTTTACCCAAACTCAAAGAAGGCTGTCCCTCCTAATAGAGCCATTCCTTATGGGCCAATCATTCACATTGGGGCCATTCCTATTCAAACAACCATAGTAGTGGATATGAGAATCATTTTATCTATAAAATCACCCCGAGAACAGATCATAGTATTCATGTGGTAGAGAAAACTGAAAAATGTAATGTATATGCAAAAGTCTTTACCAGCCTCTCAGGTCTAAGAGAACATCTGAAAATTTATACCAGTGAGACAAGTTTCCATGGAAAATCATTTGGGATGTTCTTAAACCAAGGTCTGTTCTTAGCTACCCTTGAGACTCCACACTAGAGAATCATTGTGAACATGAGATATTTGGGAAAGCCTTTAAGTTAATTTCAAATCTTAGAAAACATTAGGAGTTAATGCAGAGAAAAATGGGAAAAAATGTAGAACAAGTTTCATCAAAACCTTTTACTTGTTCAACCTCAAATGTTTCATAATAAAGACCAAATGGAGAAATGTTATTTATATGTAGTTGTGTAACAAATTTCTGGACATCGGAATGATCCATTCTGGAGGGAAGCTGATTAAGGCAGGAAATACACCACTCAAAACAACTTCAATACATCTCTGAAACTGATAGGATTCAGTGTTCTTAACTGAAATGAAGAAACTCAGGAAGTCGTGTCCCTTTGAAGAGGATTTTGGTCATTAAGATAGGATGCTCTTTAACTTGTAGGTTTGCCTACTGACGTGTAGTGTGTTCCAGGTGTGCATCATGCATAAGCTGTATCACATGCAGCTTTTGAGTTTCATCATAGGAACTGTGTTTGAGTCTCTCGTGCTCCTGTAATTAACCGCCTCCCCATATTTCTGTAAGCAATTCCAATAAAACTCTTTGATTAAAAAGGTTGGACTTGGTTGTGTTTTCAGTTTCCAGTTAGGGTGAGTAGATGCATATGCATGTTGCATCTCCCTACAGAATGTGTCTCATAAACATGTGCTTAACTTGCTTCTTGTTTCTCTGAACTTATAAACAGGAACTTGATACTAGAGTTCTCAACCTGTAGGCCATGACTTCTTTGGAATTAAAAGACCATTTCACAGGGGTTGCCTAAGATATAGGAAAATATATTTTCAGTAGTCTTGCTGCTTCGGGGACCAGCCTCTAGGCAGCTCAGTGTTTGGGGGGTAGGTGAAGCTAAGAGCTTTTTAGTCTGAGGGGGTTAGGAAAAAGACATTCACCTTAAAGTTAGGAGATCAGGAAACAAGCTTAAAGGGAAGAATTTTTCCTAATTTTATAACTTGCTAACATCAGAGAAATGAAATTTATAAAATTGAAAATAAACATACAAATGATAGAAATACAATAGGGATGTCATTGTTCACAAACACAAAATAAATTATATTTTATTAGTATTCTTACATAGAAATCAAACAGCATATACAAGAAAATAATCTTGAATATTACTTACAGTAGAATATTCCACAATAATTTCTAGAAAACCAAAACAATGTGGCAAACACGATTTCCTTTCCCATTTGCACATTTTGTTTTTTAAAAATATTAGATTTTTAAATTTTTGCTTATGGGTATTGATGTCTTGCACCACTTATCTATCTATATTCATATCCTCTGTTTTTGTGCTTGATGCCTGCTGAGGTTGAAAGAAAGTATCAGATATCCAGACCTGATTTTCAGCCACAATGCAAGTGCTCAGAACTGAACTATGTCCTCTTGAAAAGCAGCACATGCTATAACCTACTGAGCCATCTCTTCGGCTTCCTCTAAGATATATCATGCATTTCTTTCTACCTTCCAGGTCTCTTGGTTCTATACCACAGGTTTGCAGGTTTATCAGTAAGCCTAGACTATGAAAAAGGGATTTTTCTGAAAACACGTGGATTTAAACACAGTACTGTACTCTGTAGATAAAGAGAAAACAAAATAGAGGATTCTGCAAATGATTCACAACTGCCATTGGTTCAGAACAAAGAAAATACATAGGGACCATTTTCAGTTAATATAATGTGAATTCCACCACCTTTAATCACAGATCAATCAAAACTTAAGGACTGACATGGGACTGAGTGACTGAGATGACAGTATTTTACACTAGCGAGTTACTGAATTTATCATGGAACAAAGAGGCTTTATGCCGGCCAACAGAACACACATGAAGAAATAAAGTATCATGCAATGAACTTTTCTCCTCTGAGAGATGCGAGACCTATTCAAACACAGTCCTTACACTTGCAGCATTTCCCCCGAGCAAGGGAGACTACAGGGAAGTTATTTTCCACCACAAGAACTAGACTGCTGCAATTCTGCAGCATCCAGTCTCTACAAAGTTTGTTGAGCAAGATATAGGCATTGTCATTCCTCCTGAGAGAAGTACAAACCCATAAAATAGAATGTCATTGGATCTTCAACTTAAAATAGGGAGTGTCTGTGTTGGTACACTGCTTTAATTCACGCATTAAGGGGATAGAGACAAGTAATTTTCATGTAAGACCAGGCTTGGTCCACATGGTGAGTTCTGAGCAGGATAGGGCAACAGAGTGATTGAATGAAATAAAGCAAAAGTCAAACAATACCAAGTCAATTTGTCCATGTACACATGGGAAGACTTTTTTTACTGGACCAAAAGACAATTAGAGTCTATTTTTCTCTCACACTGGGTGATCAGAATTATTTAAAAGATACTTTTGAAATTTGTCCTAATATGTAATTTATTTACAACTGTAAAATATGTGGCTTGATATTTACTCACAGCATCGACAATCTGCATTTTCCCACACTCTAAGGTGTAACATTAAGAAGGCATCATGAGTTCTTAAAGAAGACAATATCTGAATGCTGCATTTAGATATTCTAATTCATACATCACAGAAGGCAAATAAACAATTATTAATAATTTTTAGTAAATGTTAATGTTTTCAACTATTGGTGTAGGGCTTGGTAAAATATATTTTCTGTATTTTCAGATTCTCAGATTCTATCTAATCTGCACTGGATTCTCCAGGGAATAATTTCCTTTTTTTTTCCCTCCCTCCCTCCCTCCCCCCTCCTTTTTTTTTCTGTTTCCAAGATAGGCTTTCTCTGTGTAACAGCCCTAGCTGTCCTGAAACTCGCTCTGTAGTCCAAGCTAGCCTCAAACTCAGATACACCTGCATCTGTTTCTCAACTGCTTGGGACTAAAGGTATGCATAACTACCACCCAGCATCATGGGAGAATTTCTAAGCAGCCATTGGAATACTAGTCACAAAAACAAATTTCACTCTCTTGAATAGGTAACTAGTAGAATGGCAAAGTTAGAAATTGTGGGTGAATTTAAATTCCAGGAGCTCTGTAATTGCCACAATAGCATGAGAACCCTGATTACAGATTATTCTTCTGTGACTATACTGGCAACCACAATATACATGAAAAGAATCCCAGTAACTCCAATTCATATGGTCTAAACATTACAGACAAGGGCGGATATCCACAACAGAATTTGACAGTCAGTGTCCTGCACAGCAGCAGAAAAACTAGTTAAACCCCTGGTTAGGTTACCCATGCCTGTTTCCCAGTCCTTCACCTCCACTGGGCTTCCGGCTCCCCCACTGCACTCCTGACTGTAACTCCTACAGAAGCCACACAAGGTGTCCTTCAGCTGAGGGGAGCTTTCCTGTCCCTACAAGATATGGAGATGACACCTGTGTTATTAGAGGTCCCTCTGGGAGTGCAGGGTTTTCTGGAACATCGTGCCCTGGTTCAGGTAACATGGCTCCTATCCACTTGCACAAATGAAATTGCTTCCGAAATTTCCAAACCCACAAAATCTAGGCTTCATTTCCCTATCACTCCTCAGATCAGGTGATTGTCCCAGCTCCACTGATACCTAATTTGTCCCACTCTGTGCAAACTACCTTCTCCACAGCTCTGTAGCTGTCAGACCTGTTCTACCCAGCTTCCCAGGTGTTGCTGCTATCTTACACCAGAACTTTGTATTAATGAGTACAGAACAAAGAAAATAATATTGTATGAGGGGTACAAGGTCAGATATCTTCATTGTACACGTTTATGAACTGACCCCTGGAAATCTTTGCTGAATTACATAGGAAAATAATCTAATGTCATTAAGCAGAGGCGTCTTGATATAGGGAACACCCAACATTGGCATCCCAAGTGTCTGTTGAGTTGGTTGAATTCTACAGACTGCTAAAGCCAGACCAGAAGATTAAATTTTCACTGTATCCTGCATCAGATTAATCATCCCTAAAACATCAGTAATTAGTACAAATTATCACATCGTCTTTGGCCAACAAGAGCATGAATAAACTCAAGATTGAACTAACCACTTGCGTTCACGTTTTACCAAACTCCAAAACTGAGAATACCAAATGTTCTCAAACAATACTTCTCTATTAGTTGAATAGGAGTATCTGCTTTTAATAAAATCCACAAAAAACTTAGGCAATGGTATGGTTTTTGCTCATTGTAACATGTTACCTTGTCTAAAGTCTAAACTTTTTGAGTCTTGCTGTTTTTAGTATCAATATTCTGATATAGTACTTTATAATTGGACTAAATATTTCACCATCTTTTTCAGTACTTCAGAATGCTCCCCCAGCACACCCTTGGGGATTTCTGAGCAGTATATGAGCATGTGCATCTTTTCTTGCTTATAGGTCATCTCTTTTTAAAGTTTTGTAGTCTCTTGATATTTGTATAGATGAATTCACACATGGAATTAAGCTGAATATATGTCTTTTTAAAGTACTTTCTTGAGTTTTATTTCATGTTGAATTTTCTGGTATGTCTGCAATATTGGCATTGTATAAAGAATTTAACAAATGGAATTTGATTCATTCACTGAGGCTCATAGAGTGGAATTTCAAGGTAAAATGGGATGTGATGATAGTACAATTGTGTTCAGTACTTACCCATGGACAGCAATGTACTGAGGGTTATTGGAGACTGACTGACTTGTGGAGTCTATACATGAGTTAACGATCATGCATAAGCATAGCCCAGTTTGGATGATGTCCTTCAATAACACAGGCTTGCACTAATATTTTCATTTGTCCCATTGCAGACCACTCACTGTCCTTCATGAATGCAAGGGAGAGTTGTCTTCTTTCTTGGGCTCCCTAATCCTCAACATTCTGTCGGTGTTGAGCCCCTTTCTGTGGGACTATGTACTACTATAATAGTAAGTCTGGAGCAGTGAGGACAAACAATCTGCCCTACTTTAGTTGAATCATGAAATACCAAACCAGCACAAAATACAGCTTATGAACACTGGACACCCAGAGAATACTACACACCTGTAGGCATATCTACATGTATTGTATCTTACTGGCTCAATTATTCTAAACAGCAAGACTGGTATAAGTTTCTTCAATGGAATTAAGCATAGTGATTCCTGACATTTTGTATTCATTATGAATTATTTGACAGTGAGAAAGTAAAACATTTTAATGAAAAATTTCCTACATTAGTCACATTTGCAGAATTTTTCTGAAATAAGTCTAGATTTTGTTTCCTAAGATTAGAACATTACTCAAAGGCTTTCACACATTTCTCATGCACATAATAATTCCCTAGAGTGGATGCTGTAGTGGTCCATAAGGACAGAGTTTAGATAAAGCATATGCCATATTACTTAGTATAGAAAGTTGTGTCTTCAGTATGTATTTCTTGATGTTTTCTTAGACCTGAGAGACAGGTAAAGAGTTTGTTATATACATTGCATTTATAAGGTTTCTCTCCTGTATCAACTCTTTGATGAGTTCTAAGGTGGGCTTCCTGGATAAGGGATTGGCCAAATTCACTGCACTGGTAAGATTTCTTCCAGTATGAATTTTCTGATGTTTTCTAAGAACTGAGCCACCAGCAAAACATTTGTCACATTCACTACATTTGTAAGGTTTCTCCCCTGTATGAAGCCTCTGATGTGTTCTAAGATGGTCTTTCTGGATGAAACATTTGTCACAGTAACTACATTTGTATGGTTTCTCTCCTGTATGGATTTTCTGATGTGTTCTAAGATTGGCTTTCTGGATGAAGCATTTGTCACATTCACTGCATTTGAAAGGTTTCTCTCCTGTGTGGATTCTTTGATGTCTTCTCAGGTGGGCTTTGCGGATAAAACACTTGTCACATTCGTTGCATTTGTAAGGTTTTTCTCCAGTATGACATTTCTGATGCTTCCTAAGATCTGAGCCAACGGTAAAGGATTTTCCACATTCGCTACATTTGTAAGGTTTTTCTCCTGTATGAATTCTCTGATGAGTTCTAAGATTGGCTTTCTGGATAAAGCATTTCTCACACTCACTACATTTGTAAGGCTTCTCTCCTGAATGAATTCTCTGGTGTCTTCTAAGGTTGGCTTTTCGGATAAAGCATTTGTCACAGTCACTGCATTTGTAAGGCTTCTCTCCAGTATGAATTTTCTGATGTGTTCGAAGATCTGAGCCAACAGTAAAGCATTTCTCACATTCAGCGCATTTGTAAGGCTTCTCTCCTGTATGAATTCTCTGATGTTTTTTAAGCTTGGCTTTCTGGATAAAGCATTTGTCACAGTCACTACATTTGTATGGTTTCTCTCCAGTATGAATTTTCTGATGCATTCTAAGATCTGAGCCAACGGTAAAGGATTTCTCACATTCACTACATTTGTAAGGTTTCTCACCTGTATGAGTCTTCTGATGTCTTCTAAGGTGAGCTTGCTGGATAAAGCATTTGTGACATTCACTGCATTTGTAAGGTTTCTCTCCCGTGTGAATTCTTTGATGTATTCTAAGAGATGAGCCAACAGTAAAGGATTTCCCACATTCACTACATTTGTAAGTTTTTTCTCCTGTGTGAGTTTTTTGATGTGTTTTAAGCTGGGATTTCTGGATAAAGCATTTGTCACATTCACCACATATATAAGATTTCTCTCCTGTATGAATTCTTTGATGTCTTTGAAGACCTGAGGAGGTGGAAAGGGATTTACCACATTCATTACATCTGTAAAGTTTCTTTCCACTGTGGGTTCTGTAATGGTATTCAAGGTGTGACAATGTATAGAAGGACTTACTACATTGTTTACATTCATAAGGCCTCTCTCCTCCATGAATATTCTGATGTTTTTTAAGACCTAAGTAGCAGATGAAGGGTTTTCTACAATCATTACATTTGTAAGTCTCCTCTCCAGTATGACGTCCCAATGAATGATAAAAGCACTTACCACATTCTGTACATTTGTAGGATTTCTCTCCATAATGGATTTTGTAATGTACTTTGTGGTGTGACAAATAGAGAAAGGACTTGCTACATTCTGTAAACTTGTAGTGTTTCTCTCCAGGATGAGGTCTCTGATGTCTACGGAGGCTCAAATAGGTCCTGAAACATTTCCCACATTTCCTGCATTGGTATGGTTTTTCTCCCCTATGGATTTGTTTCACCTTTAATTTATGTTTAGAGTTAAAAACTTCATCATACTCTGTATTTTTGTGTTCTTTCTTTCCAGTCTGGATTCGTTGATATTGGCTAATGATAGGACACAAATTTAAACACTCCCCATAATTTTTATATTTATATTGTTCTTCTGCGGTGATCCCACTTTTATATCCCTTAGGGTCTGATGATTTATTAGAGGCATCACTCTGGTTACCACTCCTGTACTCCTTGCAGTTTTCTGTAGCATCACTTGTGTTATCAGGCACAACTTGGAAGGATTTATGAATCATTTTGCCAAGCTTATAACAATTGTAAGAGTTCTCTTGGGTATTCACATGTTGATGCACAATATGCTTTGAACCTTGATCCAAGGCTTTCTCGTATTTACCACATACGCAATGGTTCTCTGGAAAATTAGTACAATTAGGGATTAATAAGGATTGGAGCTCGATTAAACACATTCAACGAGTGAGGCATCCTTCAGTTCTCTAAGACGAATGAATTGGCAATTCTTAGGAACAGAACTCTCACCAGATACCTTTTATATTTTAATATCATTAAATAAATACACAGAAGAACCTATACCCTGATCACCATCAAACTACAAGGATCAATAATAGCCTTCTCTCATTGTTACCTAATCTGCATGCCTTGCAGAAGGTTGAACAAAATGGTGAAAAGGCAATGAAGTACTTTGAGAAAGGAGCTCTTCTACTGATCATATGGAGAATGCTTCCCTTTTGGTTGCTATTTATATTTTTGAAAGAGTCACACTGTGTGGCCTTCATCAGCTAGGAACTCATTATGTAATCCAGGCTGACCTGGAACTCACCAGACCCACTTGTTTCAGCCTCCCTAGCAATGAGATTAAAATCATGCAGTGCCAGGACTAGAGACCATATCTCAAAAAAAAATTTAAAAAAAGAACAAAACTAACCACATGCACACCAACAGCTTCTTCTCTCTACAAAAATCTCTCCATTCTTTTAAAAATCAGAAATAGGTGAATAGCTTAATCCAAGAGTAAAATCAAAATATTCCAACTGAATACTCAATTATCTGTGAACACTGAACTTAGGGTTAAAAATCATATGATACTGTTGGAAAGATTATATATTATAGAGTTTTGGTTATTTTTGCTGAGAAGACTAAAAATATGAAGCTATGTTTATTATTATTAGAATTTTCCTACTTTCTATCAGTCTCTAGATAAGCCAGAGAGTTTATACAACTACAAAGTAGGTAAATACAAAGGATAAATGAAGAATTCTACAAGTCATGCATGCTTACCTATAAAAACTAGATTGCTGTAATTCTCCCACATTACGTCCATGTAAAGAGCCCTTTGAGAAGAGTCTAGACATTCCCACTCCTCCTGGGAAAAGTCCACAGACACATTGCTGAATGTCAACAAACTCTGCAAAGGAAAATTACACATTTACCATGTGCTACTTGACAATATGCTTTCCTGGGTAAAAAGAGACCTAAGAAATTAGAGACACTTTCATGATATAAATGAGGCAGGGCATTATTCAAAGACAAAAGTTTTCTAACAATGCTGTAGAGAAACCCTGTCTTGAAAAAAAAAAAAAAAAAAAAAAAACCAATGCAGATATACTCTCATATGCATAATAAAAACTTCCCTTTATAAGTCAGAAATGGAAACCTGCCTATTGCCATCTCTCTGCAGAATTTCTACATATGTAAAACATAGCTTCAGGGGAAGGAACATATAGGGTAGGATAGCCTTTTTCCCTAAAAGAAGAGAGCAATGTAATCAAGAGGGACATTCATTTATGTTTGAAAATTTATGTCCTATGTATAGAGCCAAATCAATATGTCTAGAAAATTCTTCCTAATATATTTCACATGATACAATATAGAGGTGGAGAAAGATTGCTTAAACATTATGTGAAAATTAAAACAAAAACTGAGAAAATACTTATCTTTTGAGAACTTACCACTGAGCATTGTTATCAAAAGCATGATATGATCAGGACCTCTCCTGAGACAATTAGTTTTCAGATGTCAACACATCCATAGTTGTATCATCACTATTTGATATCAAATATCAAAGAAAGTATCCACTAAACTGCAATCTGCATCTCCTCTCAGAAACATCAGTTTTACCGCAAAAGCAAGCCTCAGATTTATTCTGTCATCTGTGTTCTCTAGGGTGCTGAAATATTTACTACTAGAATTCAAGACTGAGTCTCTTCTGTTTCTACTTTTCCTAAAATTGCTCAGTGAGGGAAGCCAAAAGGCCCATGTGTTTCTAAGGCTACTTTCATAATATGGTTCTAGAAACCTTGTCATCCCTGAAATTCAACCTAGGTGGCACATGAGACCTTCTTCCTCCTACTATATAAGGACAAAAGTCAACCTCAACTGGGCATCAATTCTTTGCTCATCATTTACAATGGAATCTCTTTTAAAGTTAGAGATCTTAAGTCCATGAAAAACAAAGGTCCACACAGTATTATGGGAGGATACATTGAGGACAAGGCTGTGCTAGGTAGGTGACAAAATTTAAAGGTTTAATCTGAATTCTCGAAAAAGAAAAGGAAGAAAAAAATCAGAGGAAATAAACACTTTACCAGAGTCAGGGAATTTAAGGCTTACATGGATCCGATTAAAAAACAATTTTTGCTCTTGTCTCGTTTCTCTTGCCTCCTCTTATCTTTACTCCAACATGGTCTTTCACTCTTTTTGCTCTGCCCCTACCCCAGTAAATCTCTTGCACTAACTGTTGTGTGTGGCGCTGTTCTTGTGTGACGATGGACTGCCAGCCTGAGCCTATAGTGTTCTGTCCTCCTCTGAGTACCGGGGATGCCTGAGGCTCTCAAGATTTGGACTTCTCTCTGCAGCATCCTTGGGAACTGTCATATACCTCTTCCATTGGCATGTCCTTGGGAGACCCTCTGACCACTCCTTTCAAATCAAATCTGGGCTCAATGTACCTTGGACCAAGTGGTCAGGGAACTGAGAAAAAAAACCTATACTTTCTTTTTCTTTGTTTATGTATGGATCACTTGTCTGTGAGTGAATCTGATTCTTCCTGCATTACTTTCCACGTGGACATGTGTGCTTGTCTGGCTCCTGCGGCCAGCTACTGCTTTCTCCCATCTGCCAGAAGCCTGGGAGATGCACAGCTTAAGCTCCAGCCCACTGTATTCTCCACATGGCTCTGGTTTTGTGGCCTGCTGCTCCATGGGCTCCCCTTCCTTCTGACCCTTCCTGGTTTTCTCTCACTCTGCAGCCAGACTGCAGATCCACTGTGCTATCTCTGTTTTCTGCAATCCTGCAGCTCGTTTTCCCTCTCAACTTCCTCTTGGAACTTATAAGAACAAATTTGCACAGTCTTCCACTTTGTGACCCACTCTCTCTTCCTCCACGAATTTAGATTTTATAATAATATCTTGGCCTCAATACAAATCAATGGCCCAAACCGGCAAACTTGATTTCCAAATTCTCACAAATCGTCAGCAAATGCTACGGCCACAGACAAAAGGTCTCCAAATATCTTATACTTAAACAGGCATGCTCTGCTATACTTCCAAAGTCCCTTACCTGCAAGGCTCTATCTTCCCACTGCAAACATCATTTATCTCTATAATTTCTTTGCACTTTGCTCTCATGAAAATAATAATATCTGAAGATTATGCTGTAATCTTGGTCTCAGAATTTGTAAATTACTCATTGGGTATGGTTTAAAATGTATATAATTTGTAACAAAATTTTGCTTTAAACTTACAACAAAAGGCTTCTCCCACCAAAACAGTTACTGTAATGTTCTGTATCTTTAAGAGACAAGCCACCCCCACTCCCTTCCTGCTTGTAGCCTTAGTCTCTCTCTTTTCTCTCTGTCTCCCTCTCAGACAGGCAGCTCTCCCCCTCCTCTTCTCCCCTTTTCCGTTCCCCTCCATAACCCACCTAATAAATATCTAACCTCACTCTGCATGGTATGCCTATCCGTTTGTCGTTTGTCACTGTCGGAGATAAGCCACCTTTGGAGACCTCCGCTGATCTCATGCACAGTCCTTGCCTAGGACTGGCTGCTCCCGGGACCCACTGTCTGCCGCTGCCGGGATTCCGCAGCAAGCTGCTGGGGACTTGCAGCACTGGTTGCCTGCAGCCACATGTCCCCTGCCCGGAACCAACCACAGCTCAGGGACCTAGGGCTGGAGCTCTCAGGGCCCACTACCACCACTTGGGGACCTGCAGCAATCTTTAATAATCATTACAGTTACATCATCACCTGTCACCAGGTGCCTTTCCGCTGTCAGCTATGCGACATGGGCACCCTTTAAAAGTGCCCACCAGAGCATAGCTTGCTCTCCTATCTCATTTCTGTTATCTCCTCTTTTCTCTCTTGCCACCTCTTGTCCCCACTCCAGCAAGTCTTTCACATTTTCACTTTCTCCCTCCCCTCTTGAACAAACTCTGTTGCATGTCGTGTGTTTCCTTAGTGGCCTACCTTGGTGGATCCCACCAAAAAGTATTCACTTTGCTTCCTTTTATAAAAAATTTATCCTTTCATTTTTATCTATATATCTTTAAAAATAAGTAAGATTTTGTTTGGGTTTGCCTATAGTTTTAAATTATGCATACCACCCCGACTGTTTTTGCAATAATAGCATTCTTTTTAAACTTTAAAGAAACGGTCAAGTCTGTGATTATGGATGGTCCTCATAGGTTTTATCGGATGTCACTCTTCTGCCTTCTAATGCTCCATAGTGCTGATCTCCCTAAAGGCATTGTTTGTGTCATCCCGGACTGCGCTGCTGTTGCTGTCTCTCTCTACACAGCTTAATGGCTGCAGCCTTGGCTCAGAGAAACCTCTCTCCCTCATTCCCAGGCTTTGTTGAGATCCTGATCTTCAGGACACAGGCTCTGTCTTCCTGAAGGGGTGAATGTGGCAGCCTGGAGATATGAGCTCTTAACGGGGTGAAACCTGACTTTGGAGAAATAGATGTGAAAAGGAAGCAGTCAGACACATTCGTCAGTCTGGTTAATTCCAATTTCTTCCCTGAGGGAGGCTTTTTCTTTCTTTCCAGTGTCTCCACTGGAGAGCATGGAGGAAGGCCTGAGTGTGATAAGTCCTGAGTGGGTGTGTGCTGTTGACGTGTGAGTTGGCATGTCAAGGACCAATGTCTCAGCCCTGTGGGAGTGTCAAAGCTCATAGGAATGCCAAAGCCTTCCTTGGATCTCAGTATGAACGTGAACAGTTTGTGCAGAGAATGCCCACCATAGCTTTCTCTCCACGATGCACAGCTTTCCTCCTGGGATGCATGGCTTTCTCCCTGGGATATTTACTACTTGAAGACGTCCCTCAGAGAAACAGCTCCTCCCGAGATGAGGCAAACTTGCCTCCTTACCCAGCTGTATGTAATAAACACACTGAGCTTCCAGGGCTGCTGTGGCTTGTCCATTAGAGGGCCCACACCATCCAAAAACTAAAAACAATTTTCAAAGAAATGTGGACATGACACTGACCTGTGGTGGATTTACAGGAGAACCATCCATTCTTTCGGTTGCTCTTCTCAGTCTCAGGAACAAAGACTGGCACTCTTCTTGATAATTCACATCAAGGTGTCAAAAGTAACAAGCTAAAATGAATACAATCCTGTTACAAATAGTGCTAAACAACAATAAGGGAACTTCAAAGTCAAAGTGAAAAAGATACCAAAGGTTTTATCAACATTCTTATAGACAGGAAAGCATGGAAGGATATATTTAGAGTGATGAAAGAAAACAGCTGGATCTTATCACCGCACCCAGAAATGTTGGCTCTTAAAATTCATGGAGAAGGAAGTTCACTTGAAGAAAGTTACAAAATACAAAATATCACAGGTTACAAAATATACACTCAAACAACACTAAAGATCATAATTGGAGGTAACATATATATATAAATCAGAGAAACTGTCCATTACATCACAGGTAATAAAGACATTTTTTTTTAATTTTATTTATTTATTTATTNTGTTCCTGTGCTAGGTAGAGAAGTAGAGAAGACCTAAAAATGAATTTATTTCCCAGTTTTTCCATTATTAAACATCTTTGCGCCATCATCTAACTCCTAGATTGCCCATTTTTAGTGTCTGGTATTAAGAATGTTTTGTGAATTGTGTTTTGTCCAGTTGGGATGCATGGACTGTCACATGACAGTCTGTGTTAGATGCTCGGTTCTAGTGGAACAGCCAGTGGAATGTAAACATGAAATGCACTGTCTGATGGGATACAGTGTTGCATAGAGGCATTGTCATGGTCCTGGAGGAATGGTTGTTGTGGGATCCCATCACCTTTTTGGAGACTTCAGAGACTGCATTTTTTTTTTATTTATTAAAGATTTCTGTCTCTTCCCCGCCACCGCCTCCCATTTCCCTCCCCTCCCCCAGTCAAGTCCCCCTCCCTCGTCAGCCTGAAGAGCAGTCAGGGTTCCCTGCCCTGTGGGAAGTCCAAGGACCACCCACCTCCATCCAGGTCTAGTAAGGTGAGCATCCAAACTGCCTAGGCTCCCACAAAGCCAGTACGTGCAGTAGGATCAAAAACCCATTGCCATTGTTCATGGCAATAAAGACATTTTACACAAAGAATAGAATAGAGAAGAACTGGGTGTAAGATATAAAACCCAACTCAAAAAAAAAAAAACTTTTTCCCCCCTCCTCCCTCTCCTCTCCCCCTCCCTCCCACTCCTCTCCCCCTTCCTCTCCAGTTATGCTATGATTACCACTGATTAATGAAGAACTGATTTGTGCCTATAGCAGAACTATAGGGGAACAGTACTAGATGGGGAAAACTAAACTGAATGCTGGGAGAAAGGACACAGAGTCAAAGAGAAGCCATGGAGCTGCCGCCAAAGACAGACATACTGAAACTTTGCTGGTAGGCCACGACCTCGTGGTAATGCACAGATTAATGGAAATGGGTTAAATTAAGATGTACGAGTTAGCAATAAGAAGTCAGAGCTAATGGGCCAAGCAATATTTTAATTAATTTAGTTTCTGTGTGATTATTTCAGGGCTAAGCAGGACTAGCGGCCTCCCTCCAACATTCAGGCTTTCTAAACATTCTAAAACGTGCAATTTGGACTTTATCTCAAAATTCCTTAATATCTTTGGTTCATGGTATTAAATGTTGACAATAGTATTAGCAGAAACTGTTCCATGTAAGGAGAAACATAAATATAACACAATGTAGTTTTTAAATAGTATCTAATCAGCAGCAGAATCTAGTGAAGAGAGACTGTAAGTTCTGGGTAAGAAATGCCAGAACCGAGGTTGTGGGGTCCCCTGTAGAACACCCAGATAAGCTAAAGTAGGAAGAAGACTCTTTAAAATGCATTAGCGTTTTATGACTTTTATTTTATTGTAATTATTGGCATTATTGAATGCCTGTGTGTGTGTGGGGGGGGATCCTTCCAAAAAGGTGAATGAGTTAAGAATCTCGTGGTCAAACAGTGTCAAGAACAATGATGTGCAAAAAGTACCTAGTGAGTAAATGGATATATCCAATGTCTCAAGTCTATGGAGAGGAAGTGTTGCGGGAGGTCTTTCCGCCCCTCCAACCAATAGCTGCTGTGATACCAGCCCATTGGGGCGTGGTCTCTCTCCCTTTAAAAAAGCGGATATTTCCTCTGCTCGCTCTCTTCTCTTCCTGCTCCGCTGAAGACTAGACTCCCTTCCTGGTTGTGCAGATGGATGTTGTCTGGGATTGTGATCTGTAAGTTTTTTTCCCCTTTAAATAAATAACACCCTATTAATCATAAAAAAAAAAAAAACAGCAAACCATTATTTCTAACTGGAGGAAAGAAAAATATACCAGTAATTTTAGCAACCAGAATATTATTTAAAAAATCGTATCAGAAATAAAAATCCTGTACTATGAAAATTTCAACAGAAATGGGACTGTCAAGATTTTGTGATGAAGTCCTATAGAAAGCTGAGCAGAACTTTAGATGATTAAATAAGTCTGCTGCTAAAGCAGTAACTCAGAATCAGTCCCTTACTTTATCAATTATTTATCATTCTTTCCTTCCTCTTTATCTCCAGCTAGAAATATACGTCAATTACAGAAATTCATTCATGCAAAAGTTTATGCAACAATCTGTAACTCCTTATTTACAAGAAATTATAGACATAATGATGGAAATGACTCATGTTAAAGAACTCACTAATAAAGAGCCTATAGAAATCATTGTGTCACTGGGTGGTGGTGGCACACGCCTTTAATCCCAGCACCTAGCCTATAATCAATCCAATCCCACATCCCTAGAGGGTAGCATAAAAACACGGTCAATATAGGCAGAGCAATATGTCTTTACTAGAACACAGCTATCCTACATCAACAGGCCCTGAATATCCCAACATAGCAGAAGCACAAGAAGAAAGATCTTAAAGCCGTCTGTATGAAGATGATGGAGGTCCTTAAGTGGACATGATTAAATCCCTTAAAGAAATCCAGTAAAATACAGTGTAAGGAAATAATTAGAACTCTTCAAGACTTGAAAATGGAAACAGAATCAAATAAAATACAGACTGAGGAAATTCTGAAAATAAAAAACAAACTAGAAATTCAAAAAGAACTACAGAGGAAAGCTTCATGAAAAGAATATAAGGGCTGGAGAATTTACATCGGTCAAAATGTTAAATCTAAAAAACTCCTGAAAGGAAATATCTAGGAAATCTGCAACACGATGAAAAGATGAAACCTATGAATAACAGGGATAGAGAAAGAGAAGAAATGCAGCTTTTATGTTTTCAATATAATCATAGAACATAAGGTTTCTATCCTAAAGAAGGAAATGCTTATAAAAGAACAAGCATACAGAATAACAAATACATTGGGCCATAAAAGAAAGACCCCGTGTCACATAAAAACCAAAACATAAAGCATACAGATCAACAAAAGACTATTGAAAGCTGCAGGAGAAAAAGGCCAAATAACATCTAGTAGGCAGACCTACTAGAATTATACCAGACTTCTCAACGGAAACTCTAAAACCCAGAAGGTCATGGACAGATGTATTGCAAACCCTAAGAGACCAGAGTTGCCACTCCAGACTACTTTACCCAGCAAAACTTTCAATCAATATCAAAGGAAAAAATAATATCTTCTACCATAAAGACAAATTTAAACAACATCTATAGACAATAGATAAAACCAGCCCTACAGAAGGTACTAGAATGAAAATGTCAACCTAAGGAGGTAAACCATACCCATAAAAATACAGGGAATAAACTCAGACCAGTCAAAGCAAAGGAAGGGAAACACACACACACACACATTAGATAAGTCTGATACTTTGTTACTGTTCTATTTATTTAATTACAACCAGACAGTAAACAAAAACATGTTGTTGTTGTTTTTTTAAATGAAGAAAACAAAGGGAAAAACCAACCAAGCAGAAGAGACCTCTAAAATGAAAACTTGAATTCAGTAAAGGGATTGAGAAAGACACAAGGTGGGAAAATCTTGCATGCACCTGTAATACGATATATTATTATAAAATTATCAGTGTTAAAAGATTTATATGATTAACTCAAAATCCAGTACAATCAAGCTCCCCATGATTACTTCAGAGATACAGAAAAGAGAATCCTACAAATCTACATGGAAACACAAAGACCCTAAGAGCAACCCCAGGAACACAGAGCAGAGTTTCAATCATCCCAGCTGTGATTTCTGACGACAGTGCAGAGAGACACAGAGCAGCAGCTCCTTGGGAATGACAGAAGAGTAAACACACAACACAGTAAGAGAAGCAAATATAGAACACAGTCAAATTTCAATAGAAAGGCAAAAACATAAACTATAGAATAGACAGCCTCATCAACCAATGGTATTGGGAAAAGTAAATAGCCAAATATAAAAGAATGAAACTAGGTCCAGTGAATTTCAATTCACAACTCCAGTGACTTGTGAAGTCTGCAGCATAGCACAAGGGGGAATAAGTCCATATATAGATATAGGGATATAGTTTCTGGACAGCACAACAAATTAACAAGACACAAGAACAATAAGCAACAAACAGGATTGAATGCAATTAAAATCTTGTGTGGAAATGGTAATAATTAAATTATGAAGTACAGTCTACAGAATGGAGAAACTTGTTAGCAAACTTTTCATAGTATAACACATAAACACACAGATTTTTTTATCAAGAATTAAAAAACACAAAGTAAATAAATAATACTACAATCAAGAAGCAAAAAAAAGGAGCATGCTCAAAGTAATTTTAACAGACAAAATGTACGTATTACATGCTCCACACTTTTAGCCATGAAACTTTTACTTTAAATATAAGGATACAAAATGCTATGAGTGAAGGAAGTGTTTTAATAGATATGCTGTGATGAGGGCTGGTTATAATTGTGGTAGGTAAAATAAAAAGCCATATCTACTGTAAAAAAAATTTAACAAATGATCAAGTGGTCCATTTGCGAGGAAGCTATGTGATCAATATGAATACATTTCACAAAGGTTTCCAAATACACGAAGCCATCAATGTCAGAACTGTAGGAAGCAAATAACCTCCTTGCAATGCAGGGAGGTTTCAACATCCTTCATTCAGTGATGCTGGAAATCTGACAGGACATTAGTGAGAAAGATAACTTCAACCCTAGTAAAGATCACTCTCTATAAAGTGTCTTCTTCAATAACTTGCACTGCTAACATCAATAGTATACAGAAACAGAAGAACACATAAAAGACACGGGAACACTGACTCACTAGTAGCATGTTCACATGCAAACATGGGAAGAAATGTAAAAGAATGTATGTATTCTGTAAAGATTCTAAGTAATTAAGGCACTCATCATACGAAGAGAGAAATTATGAGAAACCACAAAGACTTCAAAAATTATAAGGTAAGGATCAAATCCAGAGATGGCTTTAAAATATATAAAAATTATAGGAATGCAATCTGTTCAGAGTTGACATGAAGACAGATGACAGGAAACATCAACAGAAAGACAGCGCAGTAAGAGTTGAATACTCTGAAGAGATATTAAACAAATCTTAACAAAATCCTGCTGGCATTATTTTAAGGAATGAAGAAAATAACTCTAAGACACTGAAGGAATTAGAAAATGCTTAAAAAAAAATGAGAACAGGAAAAACCAAGAGGCATCAGTGGTTCTAACTAAACATTATATCCAAATTATAGTAATGAAAACATTTACAACTGGTATGAAGGCATGATCAGCAATGTGAATGGAAGAGGGACAGCATCACTCATATGCAAAATCAAATAAAATTTTAGCTGCTATTGAATCTTTCAAAGAGTCTTCGAATACCTACAATAGGATGATCCCGAGGTTATCCTCAGTGGAATGATCTAGAATCAGACTGAATGAAACAGAATGTGGCAAAGCCAACTTCCAGTTCTTCTTCTGCTGTCGCTCGAGTCCCTCCCCTTCACCTCCTCCTCAGTGACTCCTGCACACCTGGAGCCTTTGCCACCGTCTCCTCTCTCTACACCAGCCAGGGCTCGTGGTTCTAACTGACAGGTGAGCAGGACTGGTTGAGCAGTGGAAGACCTGCATAAGGGAAAGCCGTTCTTCAAAAAGCACCTGGAACTTTCCATGGAACAAACATGAAAGATGCTGACACCTGCAAAAGGAGCGAGAATACCAGGTAAAATGTCTTTCTCTGAGGATTTCACTTTACTCTCTGAGAGGCGAGACTCTTTCACACACAGCTTCCATACATGCAGAGTAGTTTTCCCAGGAACCCTGAGCAGGAGAAAGGAGACTGAAAAAAAAAATTTTTTTTTTCACCCACAGAAACCAGACTCTTGTGTTTCTTCAACAGGAGATCTCTGTATAGAGCCTTGTGAGCAGGGTCTAGGCATTCCCACTCCTCCTGCAAGAAAGAAGCCCACAGTCACAGCACAGCATGTCAACAAACTGTGAAATAAAAAATAACTATTTAGTCACATCTGCATGGACAGAGTGCTTTCCTTGAACTATGGGGCCATTTTTCTGATCTAAGTGAGTGAGCATAAATATTCAAAAAAATGCTTTCTACCTTTGTTTTCACCTGTATTGAGTGTTCTAACTATAAAATAGTGTGGGCTGATATTAACCCACAACATCCATAGAGGGCTTATAACATTAATATCTAAGCATATGAGGATACATTTGTGGATGCTGCATGTGCACCAGAGAGTGCATACCTTTCAGATGTTAAATTAGTAGGGGTTAAAGTTTGCGTTGTAAAAGTTAGTGTTCACAATCATTGTTGCAGAACTTGATAAAGTATTGTTATGAGTAGCCCACCAGAGATTAGCACTCGAACAGTTTGTAGCCAACCCAAAACAGACTCCATTTATTCCAGTCATCTGAGACCATACCCAAGTGTTCAGGGTCCTAGGCGAGGCTCCATGCATCCAGAACATGGGATTTTTAAGGGCAGAGGCCTAGGTGTAGGTGTCTTGCTTGGCAGTTACAGGGGAACTTCTGCAGTATCCGCAGTTTGAAGCAAGCAGTTTTTTAACAGGAGCTCAGATAGGACGTTACCCTCCCTAAAGAGCTGGGGTGAAAGGTCATCTGGAGAAGGTTCTCCACAGTTTTAACAAAGGCTAAATCAGAAAGGTTAGGTAGGACATCCTGACCTTTGGTTCCTCGGATAGAGCTGGGTAGTTTTCCATGGGATTCTTCATCAAGGAAATCAAATTCGAGTTAACCCTGGAAACAGCTTCAGCAAGAATACAAGATGGAAGAACCTCTGCTCTGTCTTGATCCTGTCACAGTGTATTTTCTGATTCAACCAAACCTGCACTGGTTCCTCATGTGACTAAAACCTACAAAGCTCTCTGGGTGCCTAGTCCTAGGGAATGCACGCATGAATTTAAATTTCAAGAGCTTTGTAACGGCTGCAATGATAGCAAAGAGAACCCTGTTTGGTAGACAGCATACAATGCAAACGCTCTACCAGGTTATTTTATGAAAATATTCTCACAACAATAACATAAATCAAAAAAAAAAATCAGGATGAGTCCTAGTTCATAGGATCCCAAACTTCCAGACAATGGTTAAGATTCCCACGACAGAAGTGTGAGAGTGGCGTCCTTTAAGAGCAGCCTCAGCGAGCACAACCCTGCTCGGTTCTCGCAGTTCCCAGCCCCGCAGCTCCTCTGACCTGGGAGGTTCCAGCGCCGCCGGGCTGCGGTTCCCGCCACTCCGCTGCTGACAGGTGACTTTCCTAGGACACCCCACGTGGCACCTGTGGCTACCGTGAATTTTCAGGCTCGCCTACAGAAGCCAGTGTCCTCCGCCCCGGAATCGGGAGCACGGAACTGCCAGGTCCCACAGTGAATGGTGGATTTTCCTGTCACTCTGGCACGGCTCCTTGGAGCGCCTCCATGGCCCCGCCCACTACGCACCGGTTCCGGTTACGTGGTTCCTCTACGTCCGAGTACGCAGACACTTTCTCTTTCTTAATTAGTTTCCCCAAATCCATCTAGGTTTTTTTCCTTTTACCATCTCTCATCTGATCAGGCGAACGTCCCCACCTGCGAAGACCCTCTCCTCCCACTCCGTCTCAGGCCGCCTTCCACACAGCTCCAACTGTCAGGCTGCCCTGGACCCGCTCTGCACAGCCTCCCCACATGCTTGCTGCCAGCCTAGAGCAGATCTGGATCTAGGAGGACGCTGCAATCAGTTGTCTGACCTTGTGATCTGACCCCTTCAGATACAAGTTTCCAGCCTAGATTCTCATCTTGGAATAATAGCCTCCTAGGTTAAGAAGGTACAGCAAGAGACAATCAGCACCCTAAATTCTTATTATCAAGTCCTATTCCAGAACAAATTAAAGACAAAATGTCTTTTGACTCAAATCTCAAACCATAGCTCTGCCCCTTAAGGAAAGCACTTTGAATGATATCCAAGATACAGAACTCAAAAAACCAGAATCATGTTTAAGGAGGTCAAAGCACATAAAGCACGTAAGTGAGCTCAAGGAGGTTAAGTATAAAATTAGTTATGGGCAAGAAAATGAAGCAAATGCCTGAAGGAAATGAAGACAATGCAGGATTTGAAAGCCAAATTCAATAAATAGAAACATCGAAAAAACCAATTGAAATGAAACAGGAAATAGAAAAGGCAATAAGCCTAATAATAAAATAAATCACGTAGGAGACAGAATTTGAAGGCAAAAGAGAGGAGGTGGATTTCTCAATAAAAGAAAATGAAAAAAATAAAATGCTCCATGAAAGTACCTCTGTTAAAGGTAAAAGTGAAGTCCAGCTGCACAGGAACTCACCATGGAGAGCTTAACTGGGAAACAGGATAATCATTTTTGCCATTATGAAAATGAAGTGACCCTAAAAAATATTTTTCCCTCATAGACCTCCGCAATTACAAGACAAGTATCTCTAGTTACAATATTAGCAATATTGACTTGGGGGAAGGCATTTCAGGAACTTGGGATTTTGAAAGGAAATAGGTGTCTTAGGAGCCAGTGGTCAGCCAGTCCATTAACAGCCCCGTGCTGAATTCAATATGTGCTGTACTGCTTTACCTGCTACAAGGCGGCATTGCCATTCTCCTGGCTCTCAAGGATCTTTGTCTTCCAAAAATCATTTAAAAGGTGTTTTTGGAGAAAACATACAAAATTTAGTTCTTAAAAAATGCAGTGGTAAATGCAGAAACCCGTTGTTCCTGATGAAGAAAATAAGCAATGTATATTGTAACAGTCTTAAAAAAATAAGCTATACCATGCCATCCACGGCTCTGGGAATATTGAGGAAAAGGATGTGGGAAGGCAATAAGAATGGAAAGAGGGAACATGGCCATGACATGCCATTCACCAGACTCCACACAACTATAGTAATCAGTAACCCAGGGCAACTGTATTCACCTGCACTGGCCTCACTCAAGATCAGCTCTAGCCACAATCAGTCCAGGAAGGGGAGAGGCTCACAGGGCCTGACACTTTACCTTTCAACTGTGGCTGTGGAAAGATTTTAGGAGAAGGGAATTCACTGTCTTTAGTTGTATCTTTTCTGCTGAGCCTACAGAGTACCTGGGCTTATGCAGCTGGGAAAACCAAGGTTAAAAAGAAGAAGAAAAAGAAGAAAGTCCTTGCTACTGTCACAAAACCAGTTGGTAGTTACAAGAATGGTGGTACCCAGGTGGTTAAGCTTCAAAAAATGCCCAGGTATTATATTACTGAAGATGTGCCTCGGAAGCTGCTAAGCCCATGGCAAAAAGCACTCAGTCAGCACGTGAGACGCCTGCGTGCCAGCATCACTCCTGGGATTCTCCTCCTCATCTTCACCGGGTACCACAGGGGCAAGAGAGTGGTTTTCCTGAAGCAACTGGGCAGTGGTAAACCACTGTGATGGTAAACTGCTTGTGACAGGATCTCTCTCTCTCTCTCTCTCTCTCTCTCTCTCTCTCTCTCTCTCTCTCTGTCTTTCTGTCTCTCTCTCTCTGCACCTGTGTGTATGTGCCCTTCCCTCCCTCTCTCTGTCCATTTCTATTTGTTCATTGTCTCTTTGTTCATTTCTATTCAGTTTTTTTTTTGGTCCACCAAGATTACCTAGGGTCATCTGTGGGAATGTGGGTTTGGAGCTGTTTGTTATGAAACCACAAAACAATCCCACACCAGCTAAAAATATTTATATCTACTTTGTCTTTTATCATATCTATATCTTTGGTCAGAACTATAATTACAACTATCTATCTATTCTTCAACCCCATCAAAGACACCAGAAAGATATAATATTACCTAAGTAAACAGGGAGGACATTGTAAGCAACTTCCAAAATTCTAGATTTGACAGAGACATCTCACTGCCTGGACAGTCACCCAAAGTTCTTCTGTACCATTGGGGCATCCATGTTCAGCCTATAGGCCCATAGTTTCCAGAAGACTTTTTCATGAAGCAGGAAATTTAAGACTTCTGCCTATACTGGCAGTTTGCCAGTCACTTTCTTCTGTGTTCTGCAGAATGTCTAGCAGAATCTTTTATATAGCAGGAACCCAGAAGGAGCATCTCACCTTTATGATGTGGAACAATGGTCTTTTATCCTGTCACTTGTATTATTTTTAATAAGATAGTGAGAAGATTGTAGTCAGGCAGAAAGTATAGGTGGGATGACAGGCAGGAAGTAGAAGTAGGGTGATGAGAATTCTGGGAAGAGGGAAGTTTCAGTTAACAGCTGTGACCCAGCCTCAGAAGAAGCAACATGTGACTGACTTGCCAAAATGGTACCAAGCCAAGTGGCTAACTCATAAAAGAATTATGTGCTAATGTAAGTTACAAGAATTAGTTAAGGACAATGAGGGCTGATGAGAAGCCAAGGACAATGGCATGGGGTTTTGTTCCTACTTCATGTTCTGGCTTTGTGGGAACCTAGCCAGTTTGGATGTTCACCTTCCTAGACCAGGATGGAGGGAAGAAGACCCTGGACTTTCCACAGGGCAGGGAACCCTGACTGCTCTTCGGACTGGAGAGGGAGGGGGAGAGGAGTGGGGGAAGGGGGAGAGGGGTGGGAGGAGAAGGAGGGAAATGGGAGGCTGGGAGGAGGCAGGAATTTTTTTTTCAATAAAAAAAGAAAAATAAATAAATAAAAGAATTAGTTAATAAGAAGTCTGAGCTAATGGGCCAATCAGTTTATAACTAATATAATAGTTAAAGTGATTTCTTTGGGACTTAATGATGGAAAGAACCGGGAAGGACAGAAAACCCAGTGAACAGAATAGTGCCCAATGTGTGGACAACTGCATCCACATAAAACATGAGGGAGCTTGGGAAATAATTCTAGACACAAAATAAGAGTGTTAAGCATGACTTTTTGAGAGAATCACTTTCTTGGGTTGGCTCTGTTTGCTAGAGGCAAGTGCTCTCATTTAATAAAGGCTTCCTGACAAAACCTGCAGCTCTTTTAAGGGGTCCTGCCATAAAACACTTAAAGAGTGTTGATGAAAAGCTGACTGTATGTTTTTTGGTCATGGCAGGGACCTTGAAATGCCATAGAGTTGTGGCAATAAACATGGCTCCAGCCATTACCTCCACCATGAGGCTGGAATCTTAGAAAGCTAAAGAATGGGCTGGATCCAGCTGTCAAAACCATGGCTGTCATCCTGCCCATATCACTTAGCAAATTAAAGACTCAGGTGGTCAGAAAAAGAGAGAGATATAGTAAAGACAGTTTCAGATGAGGAAAGCCTCTAAACAGTCTAGAGTGTGTTTAAAAATATATATAGGTTCAGGAAATAAAAGAAAATGGATAAATGTCCTTAATATATAAAAGAAAAGAAGAGTAGTTGAGTGTTGTGGCACACACTTTTAATCCCAACACTTGGGAGGCAGAGGCAGGTGGATCTCTGTGAGTTCAAGGACAGCCTGGTCTACAGAGTTATTCCAGGTCAAAGAGATACAGAGAATATAAAATAAAAGTAAAAATAAACGTAATAGAGGTTAAAATAAAGCATACAAAGATGGAAAATACACAGAGAATCTTGATACTGTATACTATTATGCTCTCTTTGAATTGTTTGAATGCTGAGGAAGGAGCAACAGCTGCTAAAAGATATTTGTTTATAAATGCTGCTGAACTACTCCAAGATAGGTATTTTGAAAATACCTTGACTTCATAATTGAAGTCAAAAGGTATGTTACTTTGGAGAAGAGAATTTGCTTTTGGTTCCGCAGGAAATGAGAGGCTATGGATTCATTATGGGTTAAGAAAAATCAGGTTTGATCAAGGAAGATGCCTTGAGAAATTTCCAATAGGAGTGGATGGCCCAGATGTCTGAGTTCTACATCCAGAACAGATTTAAGACTGCTGCCTGAGATGATCAAGCCTCATATAAGTTTCCAGTCAGGATTTGAACAGAATTCTAAATTTTCTTTAGGTCCCTGTAAAATTATCAATGCTCCCAATCAGCAGAAAATAGCCTGGAAAACTATGCCCACATTCCCCAAAACTGGACTATGAATATTTCCTTTGTTTAGAATGTTGGTTACAAGTTGTTATGGATAATGGTCAATAGAAAAGCTAAACAAAGGATGTTAGATTCAGAGTTCTTTTTTTTTTTTGTGGACGGGGAAGTGCTGTGGGACAAAGGTCTTTTATCTTGTCACTTGCATTATTTTTTTTATAAAATGCTGTTTGGCTTGTAATCAGGCAGAAAGTATAGATTGGACCATGATGCTAAGACTCTCCTGGCTGCATTTGAAGGAAGAGATGGGCAGGTGCCAGTGCAAGAATTCCTCCAACAACCTGAAAAACAACATGACATCACCAGATTCCAAGGATCACACTAGAAGAAGACTTGAACACACAATTCCAGAAGAAGTAGA